GCGACTTCCCGTGGCTCCAGTCGCCAGCCAAAAGGGCACCCGGACTGGTGTATTTTGTACAGAGAACCGCTGCTCCAGGGCGCTGACAAAGCAGCCGCGCGGGGCAAAGCAGCGGCGCTGGCGGCACAGCCGCACTGGCCGAAACAGCCGCGCTGGCGACCGTGGAGCTCCTCCGCCTGGGAATTTCCTAGTCTATGGGCAATAAAAATGCGGCGTCCACTCACCCTCTGCGCTTTCACTGGGAGCTGCAATCCTGAGCTGTTCCTAAACGGCCATCTTGGATCCTCTCCTCAAATTGTATGTCAGAAAATGTTAGTTATTGCCACGTTCTGGGAGACAGAAAAGTATAACTGGCTAATTCACGTTAGATGCAATGTTATTATGTTAACTTGTAAAAAACACAAATTATTATTTACCATCAGCTTTCAGTGGCACAAAATAATAATGATTGGTAATTGTGATAGCTGTAAGAAAGCCAACATCATCTTTTAGCTGTAATTTTTCTGCCATCTTGTTGAGAGGATCTCTGTAGCCTCTCAGGCTGTGATGAGAACCTTACAAATAAACCTAAACACTTCCTAACATGTGCTTCTTACCAGTGTTCCTGAAAGCTCAATGACAGTCACTTAAGTGCCATAAAGCTTTTTTTTTTAACATTATGGTAGTATCTTACCTTTTTTTTTTTCCTTTCCCTGAAAGCCTGGTACATCATCATCATGAAATGAAGTTCAGCCTCAAAATAGTCTCCAGAATCAACAAATATGAGTGAATTACTTTCAGGTTGATACTCAGCTGATGCTTAACTTTTTAAAAAATAAAGTTTAGTTTTTCGAACAGTTTTAAGTTAATAGCAAAACTGAGAAGAAAATATAGAGACTTCTCATGTGCCTCCTGCCCCCACATATTCATAATGTCTCATCGTGAGCATCTCCCACCAGAGTGGTACATTTGTTTTTAATTGGTAAATCTACATTGACCCATCATTATCACCCATGTTCATGGTTTACATTAGGGTTTGATTTTGGTGTTGTACATTCTGTAGGTTTGAATAAATGTATAGTGGCATGTATCCAGGGTTGTAGTATCATACAGAGTAGCTTCACTGCCCTAAAAATCCTTTTTGTTTCAACGATTTATTCCTTTCTCACCCCAATCTTTGATCTTTTTGCTTTCTTTATAGTTTTATCTTCTCTAGAGTGTCCTGTAATTGGAATAAAACGATATGTAGCCTTTTCAGATTGGCTTTTTTTTCAGTTACTAATAACACATTTAGGTTCCCTGCATGCCTTTTCACGGCTTGATGGCTCATTTCTTTTTAGTGTTGAATAATCATTGTTTGAATGTGCCACAGTGTATCCATTCACCTACGGAAAGAACGTTCGGTTACTTCCAAGTTTTGGCACTTATGAATAAAACTGCTATAAAAAACCTGTATGCAGGTCTTTGTTTGGACACAAGTTTTCAACTCCTTTGGGTAAAGGAGCATGATTTGTGGGATCATGTGGTTAAGAATCTGTTTAGTTTTGTAAGAATCCTCCAAAACTCTTCCAGAGTAGCTAGGCCATTTTGCCTTCCTGCCAGCAATGGATGAGAGCTCCTCTTGTTCCACACCCTGGCCAACATCTGGTACTATCAGGGTTCTGAATTCTGGCCATTCTTATAAATGTATAGTTGTATCTGATTTTTTTGTTGTTGTTGTTGAGGTGGAGTCTTGTTCTGTTGCCCATGCTGGCATGCAGTAGCATGATCTAAGCCCACTGCAACCTCTGCCTCCCGGGTTCAAGCAATCTCTTATCTCGGAATCTCAAGTAGCTGAGACTACAGGTGCACACCACCACACTTAAATAATTTTTGTATTTTTAGCAGAGACAGGGTTTTACCATGTTGGTCAGACTGGTCTTGAACTCTTGACCTCAGGTGATCCACCTGCCTCAGCCTCCCAAAGTGCAGGATTACAGGTGTGAGCCACCATACCCAGCCATATCTGAATGTTTTAACTTACATTTCCCTAATGATGTATGATATAGAGCATCTTTCCATATGATTATTTGCCATCTCTGTATCTTTGGTTGGGTGTCTGTAAAGGGCTTTGGCCCAGGCTTTAATCGGGTTTTTGGTTTTCTTATTGCTGAGTTCTTTGTATATTTAGGAATTTTATAGTTTTATGTTTTACATTCAGGTCTGTGATCCATTATGAGTTAATTTCTGTGAAGGGTGTGAGATCTTGCCTGGATTCACATTTTTGCCTGTGGATGTCTGGTTGTCCCAGTACCATTTTTTGAAAAGGCTACCTTTGATCTATTGTACTGCCTTTGCTCCCTTGTCAAAGATCAATTAGCTGTATTTATGTGGTCTGTCTCTGGGCTCTCTCTTCTGTTCCATTGATCTGTTTGTTGTTTTGCTAATACCACATCATCTTGATCACTGTAGCTTTATAATAAATCTTGAAGTTGGGTAGTGCCAGTCCTCCAACTTTGTTCTCCTTCTATATTATGTTGATTATCCAGTATATTTTGCCATTGTGTATAAACTTTAGAATCAGTTTGTCAATCCACAAAATATATTTCTGGTGTTTTGTTTGGGGTTTCATTAATCTATAGACAAAAATGGGAAGAACTGATATCTTGACAATATTAAGTCTTCCTATCCATGAACATGGACTAGCTCTTCATCTATTTAGTTCTTCTACTTCTTTCATCAGAATTTTACAGTTTTCCTTAGATAGATCTTACCGGTATTTTGTTAGATTTATACGTAAAGATTCATTTTTGGAGGTGCTAACAGATTGTGTTTAATTTCAAAATCTACTTGTTCATTGCTGTAGACAGGAAAGAAATTGATTTCTATATGTTAACCTTATATCCTACAACCAACTACTTAACTTTTTAAATGTTTCTAGCATTCTGCAATTTGGGTGGAATTGATTTTCTTAAAATTGCCAAGTGCATTTCAGTGTACGTTTTTAAATCCGCCAGGTACAGAGACATCCACCAATCTCCACCAAAAGCTCTACTACCATGTCTTGGGAACCGATCAGTCAGAAGATGTTTTGTGTGCTGAGTTTCCTGATGAACCTAAATGGATGGGTGGAGCGGAGGTATTGTACAGCTGTGAAATTTTACCCTCAAAGACTGTGTTTCGTGGATGTGCATAAAAATATTCTTATTATGTGGTGACCTTAATGGGTGATAGAAGTCCCATGAGTGAATATTCTTTTGTTAAAAATATTGGTATTCATATTGACTCTTAATAATGGAGGTGATAAACCTATTAACAGCAATCTAAACCTATTACTCTTAATATTAAAAGTAATACTTTGAGGGTAAAAAAGTAATTTTACTTATAGTAAAAACTATAAAAGTACCTAGTAAGGTAAAACATGAATGTTTCATTACTCAGAATCCTGCTTCTCAGAGGTGAAGGTAGTAGCCTTCCACGAATTTTCTCTGTATATACAAGTGAGAATATGGGGAAAAGAGAGTGTGTGTCTTTTCCTTTTTTACACAACTGTGCTCTTTTCATACATATTATTTACTTGTTTTTACCTTAAAATAGTATCTTTTAGACATCTTCTCATCAATATTCATACATTCATTGGGGGTCTTAGCAGGGACCAACCTCTTGAAGTGTTAGGTTTTTAAGTTACTGGCCTAGAGTTTATTCTGTATTTTGAGAATCAATTCTGAAGAAACTTAGGGATACCTGGAGTAAGACTTTGGCTCTGGTTAGTTCATTTCTGGGTACTGAGAAACATTTCTTGTTAGTGAAGCATTCTGAATGTTTTGTTATGGGTGGGATGTTATTTCATTTTTAATGGGAATGAGGAATCTACTACAAACTTTTAGCTCATCAAGACACTTACCTCTTCTGTTGAAAAACAATTAGCAGTTTGTTAGGAAGGGACATTCTAAATTTTAACTGTGTTCCTAGGTCTACTTCTTTGGGGAGCAAAACTGGAATCTATGGTATTTTATTCCATGGGAATTGATCTTCTGTTTTCCAGATTGTTCTTTCATTTATTTATTTGGGTTTTCTAGACCAGAAGTTGACCAAAAAAACTATGGCCACTGGACTGGATCTGGCCTGCTGCCTATTTTGGTAAATAAGAGGTTTTTTTTGCAACACAGCCGTACCCATTATCACCTGCTTTCAAGTTGTAACTGCAGAGTTGAGTAATTGCCACAGAAGTCCATATAGCTCACAAAGCTGAAAATATGGACTGTCTCTGGACCTTTATAGAAAAAGTTTGCCAGATTTTAGTAGACTGTGTTGAAAATAAATATATAGGACATTTTATTACTCTAAAATGTGTCCGTTTTTCATGTTTTCTCTTTAGCATCTAACTTCCCACTCTGCCAGCTTTTCTTGTGCAGTACTATTGTCATTTTTCTCATAGGTTTGTTTTTACTGGCTTTTCTAAGATCCATTTGGAGATTGTTTCTGCAAAGTTTTCTGTCTTCTACAGCTTCTCCTTATACCTAACGCTTCTGTGTACCATAGATATGAAATAGTATACATTGTTACCTTCATCTGATTGAAATACAATTAAGATAAATATGCTACCAAAAAATTAGATTATATATCTCTCTCATAAAATTGACCCTTATAATAACTTTTTCTAAGCTGTACTTCAGTGAAGTGTACTTTAAGTGAACTTACAAGTTCAGTGGCATTAAATTCATTGACATTGTTATGCAACCATTATCCTCATCGATCCCCAGAACTTTTTCGTCTTGCAAAACAGAAACTCCACCCTGTGAACAGTAGCTGTCTGTTTCCCTGACTCCTCTCCACCCAGCACTGCCATCACCTGGCAGCCACCATTCTACTTTTGGTCCCTTTGTATTTGACTGCTCTGGGTACCTCATATACATGCGATCTTAACAGTATTTGTCTTTTTGTGACTGGCTTACTTCATTAAGCCTAACATCTTCAAGCTTCAGCCATCTTGCAGCGTGTGTCAGAGTTTCCTTCCTATTTAAGGCTGAACAATATTTCAGTATATGTGTGTGCCATGTTTTGTTTATCCATTCATCCTTGGACACGTGGATGGCTTTCCACAGCATTGTTATGAGTAATGCTGCTGTGAGCAGCTACTGTTTACAAATACGGTGGAAATACATCACATGCATTAAACATGTATAGTCGCTTCT